TTGGTGGCCTAGGAAGCACGGAGGCAACACCGTCAAGGACCGCCCAGGACGGAGGCAAGAAGAAAAGACCGGCGGAATAGGCGAAGAAGTGAGGTCGGGGGGTGGCCGTCTGCAGAAAAGAAAACAAATCGTTTTGTTTTTGTTTTTGTTTGTTTGTTTGTTTGTTTGTTTTTTTTTTTTGTGTTGTAAAATTGTGATCGGGGTTGATCCCTGATATGAATAAAGCAAGTGTGTTTTGCAAACTCGAATGGTAGGTGTGGTAATGCAGAAAAATCAACTGGAATGAAATTTGGTATTTTTTTTTTTTTTGTTTTGTTTTGTTTTGTTTTTTTTTTTTAAAATAATAAGAATAATAATATATAAAATGAAGTGTTGGAATCCAGTGGAATCAATGAAGGCTAGTATAATATATTTTAGTGGGGAAAAGAAAGATGGGTATGTTGATGATATAATAAAATAAAAGTGGATATGTGAAAGATGTTGTTTTGGGTGGAGAATAGTTTAGAATGGAAAAGTGTATATAATAATAATAAGAAAAGTGAATTGGGTGGCCCGAGGAGGGTTCAATTCATGTGCTTATTATTTATTTATTTTATTTGTTTTTGGTAGAATGGATCACATGGGTGAGTGGTGGTAAAGGAAGTAAAAGAAAAAATAAAGAAATAAGAGAAGAAAAGTGAAGTGGATCTGGGGGATGTATATGGAGAGAGAGAATCAGTGCTTAGGTTCTGGTTGGGACCCACTTGTTCTACATTACCAGTAAATAGTTTCAATAACCCACCACACCCATCGAAAATGAGAGTGTATTTCGAAAATAGTTTCAATAAAGCACGTCCCTCGTGCTGATAACGGCACGGGGCTTCAAGGGGAGGATGTTGCGGATGATTTGGGGAGCGCGTCAGGGCTTGGTGGATCGCCAATGACGCACCGCCGGGATAGGCGAAGACGGCTGGCACGCCGTCGCGCTCGAGCGCTGCGACGAGGACGTCGGAGCCCTTGCTGGATTCGTCGGCGTTGGCCAGAGGAGAAGGCGACGGTGAAGAACTAGATCTGCCAGCATGATGGCTGGAGTGGCTGAGTAAGCATCGGCAGAGAAGAAGATGGAAAGAAGGCGGCGGAAAGTCCAAAAGAAGCTGCCGGAGAAAGGCCGGAATGATGGGTCATGGTTGGAGCATGAGTGCTCCTCACCAAAGATGCAGAGGGTCGGAAGGGATGATGCCAACGAAGGTATAAAGAAGGTATGTGTAGAAAATTCTAGGGGAGTAGGTTGAGGTCCAGCGGGCGGCCAAGGCGAAGTTGTTGCCCGCCGGTGAAGCAAAAATATTAGGTTCTAAACCTGCTCTGATACCATGTTAAAATTGATGTATTATTGATTGATGTATTTTATAAATTATAAATGGTGAGGGGCTCCTTATATAAGAGATGTAGTGGAGTAGGTGGTAGTGGTAGGTGTGTAATAGGTGTAGTAGGTGGAGTAGGTGATGGTAGGTTTTAACATAATCTATTCAGATACCAAAAGAGAACAAGAGATACAATAATCTATAATGAGAATGTGATCATTCATCGATTGTAGATATTTGGTTTCATTTCTTGAACTGGTATTTGTTCCATAACGTAATCAAAGTAGGATTATTATGTAGGTCCATAGCTCTTGTATTCAACTTCCTTAAGGTTGATAATACTTCTCTTTTGATCAATCCCGATATAGAAGTTTCTGGTCATCTCTGTTTAAGCTATTTGGTTATGTCTTGTTGACTTTGGAATTCCATTCAAATTGGTATTGTATTCATGACCAGGACACTGACTCAAAGCGTTGGACTCCTCTCTTACACATTTTTAAGACAAACAGGTCATGACAGAATAGTAGTACCACTGGTGAGTTGGACATTTAACTATAAGTACCCTTTCTTTTTCTTTTTCTTTCCCCTAAAGATTATTTCAATGTATGTTTTGCCAACTGACTATAATTGCAGAAATCTGTGCTAATTCTTGGAATTGAAAATTGGGTGTATGAATTACCTTATCCATCCGTTACACATCTAGCACGCTTGCAGACATGCCTGAAACCACCTTTTGGGTAGTTCTCTTGTGGAGATAAAAAATAATAGGCTGATAGCAACTTAGCAATGTGTTGCTATCTGGTTGTCACGGTATAAATGCACGTGCGAACAACTATTGAGAAAAAAAGGAACTGGGTTAGTAGTCTCATGATAATCCATCAATGACTGTTTGAGAAACTGAAATTGAGTCATGCCATTGATGACCTGTTTGGATGTCTCATCTTGGTTGGTTAGAATTTTGGGTCCTGTTTCCAAATTAAATTAGTTAGACGACATTCCACAAACAGACTCATATATTCTTTGCTTTCTGCCTCACATTATGAGTGGGCTTTCCTGGCCCGCGCTTTATTCTTGCATCAGATATCCAAAGAGTCTATTTAAACATGGTCCATGATCCATCTATCTTGACTAACTGTTGGCTTTCCTTTGGGTCACCCTACAACTTCCTATCTTCTCATGGTTAGGCATTTTTGTGAAATCTTATTACAGGTGGATTATGGATTCAATGAATCAACTACAAAATTGGAACCCATACTTTCTTATGGACAAGAACATTTTTCATCTAATCTGTCTGTGCTACTGCAGTGGTCTCCATATCCGACAGAAGAAATAATGCTGAAGCAGGTAAGCTTCAAAACACTTTGGCTCTAGAATTTTACAGTAATAATGATAATAGGATTAATATTAGTGACGACCATTTCAAGTTTCTCATTTGCATGCTGCTTTTGCTGATGATAATTGAGATGTTGTTAAGTCTGTTAGCCTCCTTGCTTAGTGACGGAAAATATAGAATGCGATGGGGTTTGGTTCTCAAGTCAAAAATTTGAATTAATTATGTGTGTGATAAGACTATATGAAATTTTCAAATGAACATTCAAGATTTATATGAACTATTAAAATAAGAATAAGTATTTTTTTTTTTTTTCTGTTTTACTTATTTATTTGTTTGTTTTTTGTGCCTACACTAATTTCTTCCCTGTTGTAGACATGGAACTTTTATGTTATTAGTTATGTATATAAATTTTAAACGTTAAACTACTTCCATTAGGGAACTGCCAGAAATTCTCATGTTTCTTGATGTGTCAATATCTGTTATATCTCTCCCACCATTTCGAGCTTCAATCTGTGCAATTTGATATCCTTATTAACCCCGGTGGGCAGTTTGATGATATAGGGAATCATGGAACAAAGATTGTTATATACAATCTTTGGTTAAATGACAATGGGGATATGGAACTAGATTTTGATTTGGATGCGGAGGTACCTTTCATCCTTTTGCTCTTACTCCTTTCTGTTGGATCTTTTAAGTTATATTTATCATGTAGCCTACTTGTAAGTAATACCATGTTGCAGGATATTCGTGTTATTGCAGACCCAAAGCTGCATCAGACTGGTTGCCGTCCAAATCAAGTTTCTGACCAGCATATTGCTAACCTTTGCCATTATTCACTCCGTGTAAATTTATAGTTTACATTATGAAGTTGATTAATAGAGTGGTCTCTTCTTCCCTTCATAGTTTTAAAATTAAGTTCTTTTTCAAGATCCACAGGTATATTCTTCCATTTTGTACCTACGGGCACCTCAAAGCTTCAAAATAGTTCTGCAGGGACGAGTTGTTGAACATCATAATATTGCCAATGATCTCAAATTTCCTGAGTTTATATTGTATAAGTCTCATGGCGGGAACATGGAGGTTTGTATTAGCTTGTTTACAAATGCCCATTACAGTTGTCACTACTTGCATCTTATAAATTGTTTTACATATTTGTCACACTTGGCTGTAGCCGCTTCCTGTATGGTTTTATGGTATAATGGTTGCGTCTGTATAGTTGATTAAGACTTCACAAGCTGATTAATTACAGGAACATGTTTTCCTTCAAATTCAAGTAAACAGTGATATTTTCTAAATATATTACTTTCAAGAAGAAAGAACACTAAATGAATCAATTAGTTTCAACGATTCATTAATTTTGACTATAGATATATAAATAGAGAACAATACTGCGTCTGTTTCAAACTTTCTATAAATGCCTGCCTTAATTCATGCACTACATGCGTGCTTTGTTGAATAATTGTGGTTGTTAAAAATATTTGGCAGAGACTGGACATAGTGTGGGCTTTTAGATTGACTATTATTATTAACATAAGTCTGTTCTTGTTTATTATCTAATGCTCTATTGTTTCAATCGGAAGCCCCTTCTCTCACAATGCCTGTTGGGTTTATTTTCAGGCAGTTGTTACTGCTATAGGGTTTTTGAAGGAAGCTCCACGTGGTAAACATACATGGGTTCAATGTCTACCATAAGAACTGTCTCATATTGGTGAGGGATATTCTCTTACAACTTAAAATCATCTCATAAGTTGTAAGATTCATTAGAGCAGAATCACTCTTCTCGATAGCACCCTCTTCATGTTTGATGTGGTGTATATGGAGGGAAAGGAAAAGGAAAAGAAGATCCTTGAAAATGTAGAGAGCTCCATTTTCTATTTCACTGGAGCAATGGCTATTTATTTATTTAATGCTTTTTGGCAAAAAAGCCAAAAAGCCAACAAATTTAACCCCGTTAGCAAAACATCACGTCATACTTATCAATCAATTGCTTTTCCCCTTACAACTATCTATTCAACTAGAAAATCCATTCCAAACACATTAACTTTTTTTGCCTCATAAAAAAGCTAAAAAGCCAAAAATCCACTAAAAAGGCCAAGTTCCCAAATGGGCACTTAATAGGTTTTTTGTGCTTAACTTTCATTAGTATCTTCTATGGCAGCCATTTTGGCGTGTAGTCAAGGAAACAACCAGCAGTCGTGGAAGAGGAATTGTTGGTGATAATCATTGCTCCACTTATCTTGTTACATCAAGTTTTTCAGTTTTAGTGGATAGTTGATGAGTGATGTTATAGTATTTTGTAGGTGTTCTTGAAGCAAATTTTGCTGAGCCTACTCTCAATAAGCAAGATTTTGAGAAGACTTCCCTTTTTCAAAAGCTTGAAGCCCGATTAAAGGAGATGACATTGGAATATTGGTAAGCTTCCATTTGCAAGGTTTTAAGCCTTATCCCAGTGAAAATTATGGGAAGTGAATTTAGATTATTTAATCCCACGAAAAGTCAAACACAGATGTTTCTGTTCAAACTTCAAATTGAACAATCATTTCATGACATTAAGACAAATGTAGGTGAGTTGCTTGCTAGCTGGGTTAGTTTCTAATGGCTAGATAATATCACAGGCATTTCAATGATTCTTGTTTTTATCAGCAACGATAAATTCAACTGATTTATATTTATATTTTATCAACATTAGAGTACCGAGTAATATTGTGGTAAAACTTTAATCATCATTCATCACTTTATATTGTTCAAAGTATCAAAACTCTATGATTTTGAAAATAAGTATGGAGTGTTGAGTTGGACTGGTTTCCTTGTGATGTATTTCTGATTGTTGATACTCTTAGTTCTTCTCTGTCCTAGGTATGAGTTTTGTTTTTATTTCTATTTGCATTTTATTCCTAAGGCATTTATCTGCTGAATCTTTGTAGGAATTTCCATTGCGGATTGATTGGTTATCAGCAAATGAAAAAATCTCCACCAGCACCCAAGCCTTCTCAGGAACCACGTTCATTTAGGGCACATAGTTTCATTGAACAACCTGTGTTACTGAATCACAGGTCCTCTGTAACTGACAACGCGGGACCACTTTCTTCTGCAGTTGAATCTTTTGAAGATACGGTAGCCACTCCTTCAAAGAGGAAAGAACAAAATCCTGCAGGGGAACTCGAACATGTAAAAAGGCACCCAGGATCAAGGTCCTATTCAACTGATACCCAGCACATTGGAGTAAATCAGGTTTGTTTACGATGCTGATCATGGTTCGAATCAATTGGAATGCCATCTTTTGTGCTTAGTGCCGACATTTATGGACCAAAGTTATTTATAAACCACTTATAATAAAGGGTCAGAGGGATGGTTTGTTTATTTGGTTGCCACCAAAAAAATATCTTTCCGAAATGCTGAATTGATACTCTTTTCTGTTACTGATTGAGAAGTTGGGTTCAAATATTAAATATTAGACTGAGCAATGCTAGGGACCCCAGAAAAATACCAAATATTCTGCGCAATACCCACATGGGTGTGGGTCCATGTGAGTGTTGTGTAAAATATTTGGTAATTCGTTCAGGGTCTTTAGCATTTTTGATAAATAAAATTAATAAATTGAGGTAAAAGTAATAAACTAACAACATTTTCTGATAAATAAAATTAATAAATTGAGGTAAAAGTAATAAACTAACAACATTTTCTCTTCCATTGGAATGCCATATTTCAGAAGTAGTAAATTTTCCCAAGTAGTAAAAGAACACATTTGCTACACACAGCTGAAGAAACTCTATGAGAACTATCTGATGTGGTGGGGAATTTGTGTTTGGTTGTTTTATGTTTGTTTATGTGGATTGTTTTCCCTTTTTCTTTGCTAAGTGAAGTATTCTATTTGTTATTTATACGTGACTCTGTGTCCATATTCTATGCTTGTCAACAGCTTTATCTCTCTATTATTCGTGGTATCTACTGAAAGAGGTATTGGATTCTCTAATACTTGCTTGTTTGTATTGTATTGTAGCCTACCCCTGAGCATGAAAATCAGTTGCAGGACAACAAGTTTACCAGCCTGATGCAAGAAAATGAAAAGCTCCAGACACAGTAAGTACAGAACAGGTTGTAATTTTGCATGATTACTTTTGGAGCTTACTGTGGATCAGGTTGGACCATTTGGATCGTCTAGATTTACTAATTTCTATTTGTCTGAACTTGATCCTCTACTCTTGCAATGTCAACACCAGCAAGAGTTTAGGGTTCACTATATAGTATGTCTCACACTAATACACTATGAGCCAAAATGGCATTGGGCTTTCCTGCTTATGCATAGTTTGAGCTAGCTTCACTTTTGGCTAGTGGTCTTAAAGCATCCGATGGATACACTAATGACTTTGTTAGTGCCAGCTCTTAAATAAGTTAGCGAGAAATTGCAATTTCTTCTCTCCAATGCAGTTGCTAGTACAGCTCCAAACACTGTCAGAGAGTAAACCGTTTGTTTTCTGCAGCGAGCCTCCTAGAATACTTGAGAGAGAGAGAGAGAGAGAGAGAGAGAGAGAGAGAGAGAGAGAGAGGACCTGACACAATATATCCTTTTTACTTTTGTTGTTTACACACACTTTAGTTCCTCCATTGCAGCACCCATTCACTACCTAAATATAGGAACATTTAACACACAAAGTTGAGTCACACTTTTATCACTCTTTGTCAGTTAACACACATTTTAACATCTCCGTTAGAGATGCTCTTAAAGTCCTTGCTTAATCAAATTCTTCTTTTTGACCATCCCAAGCCAGTCTTGATCATCAATCTTGTTATTCACATGAGTGGATGAACTTTGGCTATAGGATAAGTTCCAGCTCAGCTTGGACTACAATTCTTTAGTTTTGAAATACCCTCGACTGTCTGAGCCCAGCCCCGACTTGCTCCCCTACCATCACTATTGCTTGAACTAAACATCTACAATTAATATGGTCCACACCTGACTTAATGTACTCTTCCTCATTTTAAATTTTGTAGATAAAACTGTTCGTTTGTGTTTTTCAGGTTATTGGAATTGGAGAGAAGCGAGGAATGTCTTACTCTAATGCTGTGTTTGGTTGGGGGATTTGGAGAGGGATTTGGAAAGAGAAATGGAAACGGTAGGTGAAATGTGAATAAAACATGCTTATATTTCACTTAGTTTCACACACCTTTTCCTTTTCCCTTTTCAAATCCCTTCTCAAATCCCCCAACCAAACACAACATAAAGTTACTTCACATTATATACAGTAAATCATTTGATGAATTGCAAATCAAAGAAATTCACATTACTGTTTTCAATCCATTATGATTTGCAAATTTGGCATTTCATGTTGTCCATTTTAAAACATCCAGCCAGCTGTAGAAAATTTGTGTAGGTCATCGTTTGACAGAAGCCTACGATCACTGTCCAAGCCCTAGCTTCAATTTTGTCAACCAAATTAAGGAAACAAAACTGCCTTTAGCTTTGGCACGCTTAGAAATGTAACTTTTGATAGTTTTCTTGTATTTCAGTTACAATTACTTTGTCAATTTTGGTGCAGGTGCAACAACTTAGGAAAGAACTAGGTGACATTCAGTCCGAGTACGCGAGACTGGTGGCTGAATCGGAATCAATGAACATAGTTAAGGATGAGAAAACTATAAATGGATAATTTCTTTGGATTTTATTTTTTGTGGTAAATAACCTGATGTTTTGTACATTGTTATCACAAAATCTATATATCATTTTGGAGTACTAAATAGTTGAACACGTCATAGTTTTGGTTCGGGAGTTTCTAAATACACCATTTTGTACAATTGGGTGCAGAGAGATATTTTGAAGCGTATTTTAGAACCCTTTTGGTTCCTAGCCAGCTGTGGAGTATGGGTATGAGTACTGGTATTGGTACCATACGAGTATGGTAAAATCTAAGAAACATCGAATATGGCTATGGCTAGGTACTACTATAAAAAAATATTTATTTTTAGTTTAAAGTAATGTAAAAATTAGTTAAATGGTTAAATTTGTTAAAATCTATCCTACAATTTACATTTAATACCAAAAGTAAATGTATAAATTAAAATTAATTGTCATTATATTAAATATTTATAAATAAAGGTCATTATATTAAATAACTTACAAATTATAATTTAATTTTAAAATTATATTAAACATAAAAATAATAAGGAAGTCTAATGAAATCGATTTTATCTTTGTATTAGAAGAAAATATTATTTCAATTGAGGTATGGTACGGTTTAGGTATAATTAGGTATTTTTAGGTATGTCAAAAATTAAGAAGGAAAAATTTATATTTAGGCCAAGTTTGGCATATACAAAATAATTCATCTTTTTATCTTTTTTCTATCACATCACCTCTTTATTTTTTTGTACATTTTTTCGTAAAAAGACAAAAAATACATTTATTTAGATCATCACAAACAATCCCTAAATATGAGTAAAACATATTTATCGAAGTATCTTGCTTCATAACTAGCCAGGAATTCATGTTGTCATCATACGTAAATGGGGTAGAATATAAATATCATCGATTTTGGGACAAGTTCCATTTTTGGGACAAGTTCTTTTTGTAAGTTTCATTAATTGTCAAGACTTTGTATTTGTGTGTATTTGTGTTTTGAAGGTAGCTGTTAATATGTTATATTACAACATAGATTGATGTCTTTTCATAGATTTCAATTTGAGGTCGATGTCTTCCCATAGAATTAAACTTGTGACTTTACATTCCTTGGGCTATTGAGTTTAGACCCTAGTTTGGGTGTTTTGACAACAAGTTAAAAAAGTCAAAAGTTAATTTTTAATTCATTTTAGGTTACATCACCGTTTACTTAAAACGGTGAGAAAAATTTAAAAAGTAAAAAAATCAATTTTTAACTATCTTTTCAAAACAGTCTAAGCTATTGATATCGAAATTTGACACTACCTAAAAAATATATATATATATTTGACGCCATGTGAAAGAAGCTATCATAATGTAACAATGTCAAACCGTGTCATATTTGAGATAAAATTTGATAATTGTAAAATTTGCAACTCACAGTCTCTCTCCCTCTTTTAGTATAAGTTCACATATTATATTTGCTTTTGAAATTGTGAAGAAAAGAAATGATATTTGTACCATTGAAATACAGTTATTAAATTATAACATTTTGATATGTAACATCAAAATATGAATTTGACATTAAATGATCACACATGTTCTTGGGTTTCTCCTACTAAATCATTTTGGTTTAGGGTGGTTACTAGTCAGCAATTCCACCAAAGTTAGCTTTGGTTAGGTCAACAATTAGGCATGGTTTGCTTTCGGTGCTATCTTCGTAAAATAATTACAGATTCATTAAAAAAAAACTTAAAACTTTAATTATTATAATTTGTAAAATTTATCACTGATCTGATTTTTTTTTTTTTTTCAACTTATACACTGAATTGTAGTTCTCCAAGTTTTTTCACACTATATGAAATAGAAAGTTTAAGCATGAAATTGGGACGGATGGTCCAAAGTTAAAAATGAAAATCTTGGATATTAGGGAACGGGATAATTTTTAATTAATTAATAAAATCAAATAATATTTTGCCATGTGATTTGATGGTATAAAAGGATTTTTAATTAAAAAAAAGAAGAAGAAGTGATATTCACCAGTCTCCTTCAAATTTTTTATATAATATAGTGGTGATATAGAGCTTCACTAGTAGAGTTCTAAATAGAACTCTATTTATGTGGTAAGGTTAAAAAATATATATATATATATATATATATATATAGTACAAAACATCATATCATAGTGGGACTCATCACAATTAGAGCTCTCTAGAGCTTTTTTTTGTTGAACTCTCAATTATTTTTGTAATTAATATACAGTGGTGATCATTAATGATACATAGCTCTAATACTAGAGCTCTAGTGACATGGAAGAGAGGGAGAGTAGAGAGAGATAGAGAGAGGAGTGTTGGCTCCCTCTTCAAATGAAATTCTTCACATTATTAGAGTTACATTAAAGCTCTCAAATTAAATCTCCCAAACATTATTTATAAAAAAAATCAAAACATTACATCAATGAGTGGAGCACACCCATTAGAGCTCTTGATTTAGAGTTCTCAAACATACCCCTTGACTGTCACTGGCTGAGTGACTATTTAATACTTTTGTTATAAAATATAATAATATTATCATGATTTTGTATATATTAAATTATATTTATTATTTTATTTGTTAACACAATATTTGTATAATCTCTAATATTATTCTAACAATTAAATTGAAACATCATATGATAAAATAAAATTGTAAAAATAAATGATTATTGCTCTATAAAATCTAAGCATTATTTGGCATAAGCTAAATAAGTGTATTTATTTGGGTCACATTATTTTATTATTTTTTTGTAAATCTTTTCATAAAAAATCAAAAAATATATTGTCAAAATTAGAAAGAAAAAAAATCGAATTAAAACCTAACCCAAAAATTACTTAACTGATGAGTTACCAAATCCCGATTGGCTTTGGCAACCCGAATTGTCCACTCTGATCAACATCACTAGAAAGAAGAATTGGACTGAACTCAACTCTATACATATATTATTATTATCAAGTTGGTTTCTTCATGCAATCTTATAAATGTATTGGCAGTTTTCTAATTGGAAAAAAAATCCATGCTAAGTGCACACACATAAAAAAATTAATAAAAAAATAAAAAAATATTTACATAATATGATACATATGTAAGATAAAAATATAAGTGAAAACTATATGTAAGGCTCCCGTCACAAACGATTCATTTGATAAAAGAAAAGTTTTACTCTTATAAAAAATCTAAACATGAAATATTATAATATTATTTTTTATTTATAAATAATAGTCATTTTCACTAATGATAGTTATTTATATAAAACATCACTCATAAATTTATTTACAGTGACGTGACAAAAAGTATTAGTTGATTGATTCCTAAACCAATCAATAATTGACATTTAACCATTCACATTATTGTAAATAAATTTATAATTGATATTTTAAGGAACTTAAGCATTACACTTTGTTTTTTTCTTAAGTAAAAGGTTCACGTTTAGTCATATTGTTTTGTACAAAAAAAATATTATATAATTTATCTATCTATATATTATTCTTTTTTGACGACTTGAATAGTAGTTCAAGCGATCTGAACACTTAGATGTTAAAAGTGTGACGTTTTAGTTTAGTTTCGAATTTATAGACATACATGGACTATGTTATAATATTTTACTTACATTCTGTTTCTGACATATATATATATATATATAATCATACCTTTTTTTTTTGGTGACAAAATTCACCTCCTCAAGGCTTCTAGTTCTAGCTAGCTTACGTGCATTTGGGTTCATATAACACCCTCACCAGAAGACTCGTTGCAACCTTAAACTACCCCACATTACAACAAAAATCAATACAATGACAGAGAGACAAAATTCACCTCCTCAAGGCTTCTAGTTCTAGCTAGCTTACGTGCATTTGGGTGCATATAACACCCTCACCAGAAGACTCATTGCAACCTTAAACTACCCCACATTACAACAAAAATCAATACAATGAGAGAGAGAGAGAGGCGCTTTTTTTATGAGAGAGGGAGAGAGAGAGCGCGCTCTTTGTTTATGACCCAATAATAATTCAAGACTTTGGTCTCTTAGAGAGAGCACGCTTTGTTTATGACCCAATAATAATTCAAGACTTTGGTCTCTTTCATTGTTGGCGGGTGGTGTGCAAAATTTGCATGCTTTTATGTGGGCTGTGTCACATTTATGATCTATCAGACAAAAACTCACAGTTAGCTACTCATAATTTGTACGCAAGCATCCTTGTCCCCACAAAAATGTGTTAAGATTGTTTTTGTATCTAAGTACTAATGTTGTGTTTGGTTGGGAGATTGGGGGAGTGATTTGGAAAGAGAAAGAGAAAAGGTATGTGAAACTAGGTGAAATATAGGTATATTTTATTCACATTTCACCTAACTTTTCATTTTCGCTTTCCAAATCTCTTCTCAAATTCCCAAACCAAATACAACATAAATACCCTGTTCGACCGACTTCATCACACGTTATTCCCAAAAATTTTTTATGCAAACATCCTTGTCCCCACAAAAATGTGTTAAGATTGTTTTTGTATCTAAGTACTAAATGTCCTGTTCGACCGACTTCATCACATGTTATCTCCAAAAATTTTTAATTTTTAATTTTTATTGTTAAAAAAAAGTGTAAAATGACTAGAAATCCTCATGCGGTGGTAAATTAATTAAATAACTTGAACTCGACTCGTGTTTTGACTTGTTAAAAGTTCGTTCGAATTTGATTTGTTAAATAAATAAGTTAATTTTTAATACATTTTGGTATTTGTTAACGATTTCAAATTAAATTTGAACAATCAATTAAACGTTTGACTGAATTCATTAAGTCTAAAACTATATAACAAATACCAAATTACTCGAACTTAGTTAAGCAAAAATTCATTTGAAATTGATTCGAAAGTTTAACAAATAGGACTTAAACTAATTTTAAAACTTGTTAAAATTTTCAAATTAAAAACTCGAACTCAGAACTTGATATCCACCAAACCAATTGGATTAAACCCGCCACAGCTAGAGGGTGGTCCGTATTCACAAATCAAATTGAGATCAAATGTGATTGAACTCTCTTGTGATGGCTACATAAGTGAAGTTTAGCTGAAGCAACTTCAATGATGGGCCAATGGTGCACTTCAAGTTTGACATTTGGGTTCAGATATTCCTCTATTATTACACGTTCATATTTTGTTTTTGGTACAAAATATATCCTCTGATATGTTATGGGTGGAAAAGATGAAGATTCTCTCTTGTATTTGATCTAAAGGTCACAAAATATGATAATAATTAATTCTTAGATTGTGACTTTTGGATCAAACGTTAGATAAATTAAAAAAAAAATGCTGTTGAGAATTTAGATTTAGGAGGAAAAGCTATGATCAATGGGGTTCTAATTCAAGTTGCTTAGTTTTTATTTTTTTAAAAAGCATTAAATTATATATTAAAATTCACGTGCTTCGATTTTTTCATGTAATCTCATGATTGAAATGCATTTGATTAGGAGTATAGAAAATTTTGATGAGAGATTTTCAGATAGATCAAAGTAAGATTTGATGAGAGAATTTATCTGGAGATTATGATAATGTCTAGCAAATTATGAGCCCAAGTGTTGAGCACATTGAATCATATCATTTATATAAAGAAAATGACATTCTTATCAAATGCATTTCATCATTTGAAAAAATAAATATGTTTCAAACATATAATTATTAAACAAACACAAAGCTCCAAATTACAGACTCAATCTCCAACAGAGGTAAGCTTTATCCATAAAAATAAGAATAAATTATAAATTACAAAGTACCAAACTAAAATTTGTATAAAATGGAGACTATTTTTATAATTTTGAAAATTATATTACGCCTTTTCAAACTTCTAATTACATAACAAATGAATTCTTGTATTAATAATTATTAAGTTAATTAATAGTTTTTAATGATTTCATAAATATATTTTAATTAACAATTTTTATAATTTTATTGTTATATGGGAGAATAGTTAAGAAATTTATTTTTTTTTTAAATTTTATTAAATAAGAAAATTCTAACAAAAAATATTTATAAATTTCAGAATTACCGACCAATTCATTTTTTTAAATATAATTTTTAAAATTTTGCCACGTACCCGAAAAAAAACTGACTGGGATTTTTTTGATGACAGAGAATCGTTCAGCTAGTGCTATATAAATAAATGCCTAACTGTGCTTGTACTCTCCCTACCATTGTTGCATTGCATGTATGACTCTCCTGTATCCATTCTTCTCCAACTCATTCTCAACATTTCAAACAAACAAACAAAAACCCAGATTCCTCTATACATTATCATCATCCATGGAAGAAGAACCTTCATCCAAATCCATGGAAGAAGACTCTTCATCCAAACCCAAACCTTGTTTCTCTTTACCAGTTGATTATGATAACAAAGCCACTGAATTCAGACCCTTCTCTCTCTCTTCTCCCCACATGCTTTCCTTCCACCTGGCCTGGCTCTCTCTCTTCTCCAACTTCTTCTCCACCTTCTCCATCCCACCTCTCCTCCCCCTCCTCCGCCGCGACCTCCACCTCTCCTCCTCCACCATCGCCGCCGCCTCCTCCGCCGCCTTCGCCGGCTCCATCCTCTCCCGCCTCCTCATGGGCCCTGCCTGCCACCTGTTCGGCCCGCGCATCTCCTCCGCCACTCTCTCTCTCCTCACCGCCCCAATCGTCTTCTCCACCTCCCTCATCTCCTCCCCAAACTCCTTCATCCTCCTCCGCTTCCTCATCGGCTTCTCTCTCGCCAATTTCGTCTCCAACCAATTCTGGATGTCCTCCATGTTCTCCTCCTCCGTCGTCGCCGTCGCCAACGGCGTCTCAGCCGGCTGGGCCAACGTCGGCGCCGGCGTAACCCAACTCGTAATGCCACTCATCTGCTCTCTCCTCACCAACTTTGTCCCATCTTCCACGGCCTGGCGCCTCGCATTCATAGTCCCAGCAACCTTCCAAACCATCACCGCCCTCATGGTGCTGGGCTACGGCCAGGACTCGCCGGACCATCGCCAGAAAACTCAAAACAACCCAAAACAGAGTAAACAGAGCATGATCGGAGCTCTGTTTCATGGGTTCACGAATTACAGAGCGTGGATTCTGGCTTTGACATATGGGTTTTGCTTTGGGGTGGAACTGACGATGGATAATATCATTGCGGAGTACTTTTATGATCGATTTGGGGTGGGTATTGAGGCGGCGGGGGCGATAGCGGCGAGCTTTGGGTTGGGGAATTTGGTGTCGAGGCCGGCGGGAGGGGTGGTTTCCGACGAGATGGGGAGGAGGTTTGGGATGAGAGGGAGGTTGTGGAGCCTTTGGGTGGTGCAAACCGTGGCTGGGTTGCTGTGTGTGTTACTCGGCCGAGTTAACTCACTGTGGGGGTCTATAGTTGTCATGTGTTGCTTCTCGTTTTTTGTTCAAGCTGCTTCTGGACTCACTTTTGGTGTGGTTCCTTTCGTTTCTAAAAGGTTTGTTCCTTTTAACTTGATGGTTTTTATAAATAAATGAAAATTTTCTTACTTTTGTATTACTAAACACAAAGCCCTGTTTAGGAGTGAATTTTTGACTTTTTTTTTTAGATTAAAATTTACAGAAAGATAAAATAGAATAAAATAGTTAATAAAATAAAATGTTAAATTAAATATATAATTATTTTTTTTTTCTTACAAATATCACATCTAATTATAAAAAAAAAAAATTATATTTTCAAATACAAAAGTTTATTAAAATAATTAAAAATTAAAATAACCTATTAAAATAGTCAATTTCCACAAAAATAATGAGATGCGTATTTATTTATACAAATTCTATTATTTTTGTGTTTAGTGGTAAAAAAATTACGTACAAAATTTATTAAGGCCATGTTTGTTTGGGTGGACATGAGTTTGGAATTGGACTAATAGTCTAATAAAATTATTAATGTGTTATACAATTGAAGCAGAGACTAATTATTTTAAACTTGACTATTAGTTAAGATAGAATACATAATCCAACGAATTCGTAATCCTAAAATTATTAATTATGAGAATGCTAATCCAGTCTGCCCAAACAAACATGACCTATATGTATGTATCATTAGAGCGACGTTATACATAGGAATGGCCATGGGACATGTTCGCAATCTCTAACATCTGTGCCCCGTAGCATATTGGAGAAGGAAAAATCGAATTGTTGGTGAAGCCGGAGCAAAGCAAAGCGGGGCGGGCGGATGAATTTTGTAACGTAAAAGTTCAAAATACTATGCCGTTTGATAACACTTATATTTTCTGTTTTCTATTTATATTTATAAAAATTTTAAAAATTTAAATAAAAATTTATTTGGTAAAATTTTTAATTTATAAGTAGTGAATCTCAGTTTATTAATTTGGTCAAAAAATGAAAAACAGCCAAAAATGTATTTCCGTTTTGAGTTTTTGAGTTTTTTTTTTTTTTTTATCATTCAACACAAAACCACCACCCGCCACCATTTTCCACCACCGTCTTCCGTCACCACCACCCACCAACATCACCCACCACCACCCTGCCGACACCACTCATCTTCATCCACCTGTCACCACCCCACCACTCGGGCCACCACCATCCACCACCCGCCCGAACACCACCATCTGGCACACACGCCACCACTGCCACCACCACTCCACCACCTGCCACCACTAGCCACCACCACCACCAGCCACGTGCTACCCACCCGCTACCACTATCTACCCACCACCACCACCATCATCCACCCACCACCAACACCATCAACCCACTCGGCACCACCACCACCCGCCATCTGCCACCCCACCACTGTCACCCACCCACCACCACCACCACCAACTGTCACACCCACCACCACACCACCACCACCACCACCACCTCCATCCGCCACCCACCTTTGCCATCCCCCACCACCACCACCACCACCCGACCACCTCAGCCCTTACCCATGCCCGGGGAGGCGCGGGCGGTCAGGGCAGCCCGACCCGGCCGACCAGCCCGGACCGGGACGTAGGCCGGGCCGATCGCGCAGGCCAGGCGCGGTGGGCGCGAACCACCAGCCTACTACACACCACCACCACCCACCCACTCACCTCCCAGCCCACCATGCCCACGCACGACGCACCCGCCACCACCATCACTCAGGAACCACATATCCGCCACCACCTGCCGACCACCACTGCCGCCACCACCACCACCACCACCCACTGCTACACCCACCACCCGCCACCTCAACCCATCACACCCACCATCACCACCTACTACCCACTTGCTACCCAACCACCACCGCCACCGTCACCCATCCACGCACCTCACCACTCTACTACCCCCACCTTACCACACCCAACCCCACCACACCACCACCACCACCCACCACGCACTACCCACCATCACCCCACACCCACACCCACCACTTAAGCCTGCTATCGCCACCCACCTGCCACCACCACCCCCGCCACCGCCGCGCACCCACCACACACCCACACGCTATCACCCACCACTCGCCACCGTCACCCACTCACCGACCAAACCACCACCCACCACCACTAGCTACCCACCACCCACCGTCACCACTTTCCCATCACGTTCCGTCGCCACTTGCTACCTCTTGTCATTTCTCACTCTTTTTTATATTTTTAAAACTTTTTAAACATTTTTTCTAAACCAAACGCATTTATAGTTTATGTTTTTCTAAAAATAAACAAAAAATAAATAAAAATTAATTTATAAAATTTTTATAAATATAAATTGAAAACGTAAACGTTACCAAACATACCGTAAAAATCGGTCTTCATCCTATATTTCTCATCAGAGCAAGGATGTAGGGGCGAAATTAAATAGGATTAAATGATCATCCGTTTAACATAATTTCATTTTTAACGTAAATGAAAAAATATAAAACATTATTATAAAAATGCATGATTTTATTTTTAAATAAAAAATTATCATAATTATTATTATATAATATTTTTTATAAAAATGCATAACATGTATTACACGGTAAAAATACACATATAGGACATACCTTTTACCTACATTATTAGATATAAGATTGTACAAAATACTGTATAATCTGTTAAAATTACACCGGTACGCATCAATTTGCACCGCTTTATCCGTTAACTGCAGATTAAACTTAAAAATTTTTAATTCGCCATCAAAATTGTTCCGCTTTACTATAGTTAATACATATATATTTTTAAGATCTAAAGAAATATCAAAATAAAAAAGAATGTGAGAAAGATTTAATATGTAAAATTTGTTACAAATTAATAGTTATATTCATGAAACATATAATGTAAAATAGTTTATATTATATATAAAAAAGATTATATAAATTAATGCAATGTATTATGCAAATACTTCATAATTGACTAGAATATTTCTTAATATGCCTAAAACTATTCAAATTGCGATTTGTCAAATTGTCAAATTGTTATTTAATTTATTATTTTAGTTTCAAATCTTGCGCATTGTATTGGCACCACACACCTCTAATTACATGTGCAGAAATGATACAGGCTCTTTTTTTTTTTTTTTTTTTAATCCCTACAAGTCTTCACAGACATATATCAGCTAAAGATAAGATGACGATAAAAATAAAATAAAAAAAAAAGAAAAGAAAAGAAAAAGAAAAAGAAAGAAGTTAACTAATCACAATGTATTAGAGGTGGTGAGAGTTCCCCAAAAGCAGTTCCCAACCTTTTTCCTTACATGTGTGCGCATATTTGTCTACTTTCGAACGTACCGACGTGGTATTTCTTTATCGGGTAATAATATATCTCACTAAAAGTGGTGTTCTAAAGCATCACTAATGAGTTGACAAACACTTTAATCAAAAAAAATAAATATAAGACACAAACAATTACAAGACACAAGCAGTGAATCCCGTCGACTGCCACATCACTAGTGGTGTTTTTAGAGCACCACTTTTAGTGGTCTCAAGCATTATTGTTCTTTACCCCACGACTCAGTCATATGTCCCACTCATAATCCATGTGACCCAGGAATTTTGAAGTGGAATTAGAATGTGATTTTAGATTGAAATAAGAAAGTAAATTTTAATAATTATTTATTTTAATATTTTGACTAGTCGAAATTATTTTATATTTGTTGAGTCAAAATTTCTAAAATTAAAACAGTTAATTTGATAATTAATTTAATTGATTTAGTTAAAAAATAAAAATTACTAATTTGATAGAGATGCTCGGGGTATATTAAATTTTAGGCTACATTGGAAAAGTAATGCTAGGGAACTTAAATATTTTATCAAATATTATACCAAATATCTCACATACGTGTGGGGCTCACATGGATTCATATGGTAAGAGTCCTACAAGTATTTGATAAAATATTTAGAATTCTTAGTATTTTTCATATTAGAATGAAGTAATTTTTTTAAAAAATATTAATATAATTATGAATTTCATGATTGAATATTTGGAACGAATTGTAATAGGAAAAGTGACTATTGATTATTTATTTTAGTATGTTTCACATAGTTTTCTTATCTTCCCCCCAAACCGTTGAATAATATTTATGCACAATTTTTATTACTAGTAATGAGATTTTAAATCCCTTCAATATTCGGATTATTCAAACATAGTCTTCCAATATTAATTTTTTGATTGATATATGATAATAATGCGGATATATATATATATATGATATGCAGGTCATTGGGAGTGATATCAGGGATGACTGGGAGTGGTGGGACAGTAGGAGCAGTGGTGACCCAACTCTTGTTGTTTTCAGGCTCTAACAAATTCTCAACCCAAACCAGCATTTCGCTAATGGGCCTTCTCATGCTTGCCTCTACTCTGTCACTCACTCTCATCTACTTTCCTAAATGGGGTGGCATGTTCTGTGGCCCATCAGATGACCCAAATTCATTGGATGAAGAAGATTATTATTTGCTTGAATAAGAGACTCGTACATATAATGATCTCGTTTGAAAAGTGACTATTTTAGAGACTTTTTAATTTTTTGACTATTTTAATTTTTGTGTTTGGAAAGATGAGATAGATTTTTATTTGAGTTGGTGTATTGAAAAATGTGAAGTTAAAATGACTAATTTAGCCCTAATCTCATATTTTTCAAAATAAAGACAAAGGGGCAAAAATGTAATTTCCCTACCTGTCACTGTGACAGTGGTAGGTTCTGTCACTATGACAGCTCTGCCGGCCTATATTTATTTATTTATTTAATTTATTTTTTTTAAAAAAATGAAGACAAAGAGGCTTTTTGGCTTATTTAGACAAAGAGGCTATAATAGCCTAAACTAGGCTACTTTTTTCCTTCCCAAACACCCCCAATATAAGCCATGAGATTTCTTAATATTTTCTATTTCTTGGTCTCAGATTATCGTAATCTTCATCTTTTTTTTTTTTTTTTTTTTGAACGTGGTAAAATCCATTAAGGAGAAGCCAAACGGCACTTACAAATAGACTCCATGCCAAAACAGATAGAGCTTACATTAATCAAAGGAAAAATGAGAAAATAAGCACACAGGTAAAGCTAAAATAACATCAAAGATATGATCAAACACGATCCTAACCCGTACTGCAACGTAGAAGTGATCATAAGAGATCAACACTAGGGTTAGTCAGAGATAGGGGTGGGCGCGGGTCGGTTGCGGCCACCGAACCTCCTATCCGTTATCCGTCCGCCAGATTGGCTGATTGGAGAAAATCAATCCGCATCCGTTCACCAATCCGGCGGATGTGGATTGAGCGGATTGGCGGTTTGGCGGATGGATGCGAATCGGTTTGGTGGTTTAAAATTTTATAAATTTTCAACATAATTCAACTTGTGCATTTCATCAAGAAAAGTATTACAGTCAATAACTTAAAAAAGTATTACAATCACTGTATGCCTTATCTAAAGAAAGAAAGTTTAAAACTTTAGAATATCACGATCATTGCATGCCTCATCCACATATTACAATCACAGAATGATTCATCCACAAGTATTACAATCTATGGTTCTTAAAATATAATAACAACTCAAACCACCAAAACCATGAACAAAGCAATAGTAGAGACTGTATGTCTCTGTATTGTTATATCTATATATGTTTTTGAAAACAAAAACCAACCAGCATATATCATATTTTCTATTTATTATTTTTAGAGTTAGACTTAAAAATAAAAAAATATAGATAAATAATACGTTTATTTTTTTCAATTCAAAAAATATATTAAAGTTGAAAACTTTTTTTAACAGAATATTTAAATTTTTTTTCAATTGAAAACACAAACAAAATATCTAAATAAATTGAAAACATAAAGTTTTACAAATTATTAGGGGTACTCGCTGTTTTTGGCGGTTCGGTTGCGGCCAAAGAAATCTCAAATCCGCCATCCGTCCGCCAAATTGGCGGATTGGAGAAAATCAATCCGCAACCGTCCTCTCGTTATCACGCATCCGTCCAAAATGCGGCGGATCGGTTCGGTTCGGTCGGTTTTGGCGGATCGGTGTATCCGCTGCTCACCCCTAGTCAGAGATACCACAAAAGCATACACCCCAGAGAGGGTAAGCTACCAATGAACACAGTCATGGAGTCCAAATAACACAAATAAACTGAAAAAACAAACTGACTGAAAAAATAAAAAGAAAATAAAGTTCAAAAAAACGAAACCGAAGTCGTCGATCTGGAGGGTGGAAGCTATCAGATATGGTGGAGAATGGCTGCGGCGTGGAGACGGTGGCTTCAGTGACGAGAGAAGGCGAAGGGTGGTATAAATCTGGAGGAAGGGAGGGAGTTAGCAGATCTGGTGGAGGGAGTTAACGTTCTTTATTTGCAACAACTACAAGAGTTTAGTTTTATTGAATTTTTTTTTTAATTTTTTAATTTTTTGTTGTTTAAGGGCACTAATTGCAAATTAAAAAGGTCTTTATCAGTTAATATTTATAATTAAAATAATCACTAATAGGCACCGTTAAATTTTTTTAAAAAAAACTCCAATGATAAATCTAAAACAAAATTGACTTGGAAGAATAAAAAAATGAAAGGTGAATTACACTAACGGTTCCTATAGTTGGGAACTTGTGTCACTTTGGTCTCTAATTTTTCAATTGTGACCATGAATTTTGAATATTGTTCCAAATAATGACAATTAAAGATATCATTGCTTAATTTTAAGGACAAAATCGTCAATTTGATAAAATATAAACTAATTTGATCAGGGCCGACCCTGAGTTATTAGGGGCCTAAGGCAAATTTTTTAAATTGGACCCTTCATATAACAATACCAAAAAAAAAAAAAAAAAAAATTGTTCGAATAAAACAAAAAGGATAAAAATTTATTTCTATTGCATTACAATTTAAAAAAATTTAGATAACAAATATATATGCATATATATAAAATAGTTGAACTTCAATTAGTTGAATCGAATATTTATTTTTTAGCTTACCAATACTATAATAACTAAAATTAATTGGGGGGTAAGGATAAGAATTTTTGACACAACTCAAGCAATATATAAAATTAGCAAGTTAGGATTAACTATTTTTCAACATGAATCCAAGTGTGACACGACTCAATAACATAAATTATTAGTTATATATTTTAATGTTCACTAAGGGATGCCATGACATTTTTTTAATATTTTATTTAACTCTATCTAATTGAATAAAAAGTATGCAAAATAATAATTAAGACTAATATATTTTTTCATTTAAGATATGTATTTTTTTTGTTACCTATTTTAGAGTCAATCTAGTAAAAAATATATAGTAATAAGGTACAATTTTTTTTAATTAGAAAAATGCAATTGAATTAAAATCAAACATTCTATGAACAAGTTCATTTAGTAGAAATAAATTTTATAAAATTCAACTTATGGAAAAAAATTTAATCTATCCATACACTTGCTAAGTTAATTTTGAAAAGTGAAAATTTTCACATTAAATATCAATCGGATACGAATCAAAATAATGCCATACGACAACATGAAAATAAATGAATTGAGCTAATATTGAAATAATTATGAAATAACGCGACATGATACACTCCCCTAGTTAGGGGCCCTAAATTTTGTTCAAAACTGAGGGCCCGAGATGACCGCCTTAATGGTCTATCTCAAGGTTGGCCCTGAATTTGATAAAAATAAATGTTAAAAAAGTATTTTTAACTTGTTAAAAATTATTTCTACCTACTATAAACAAAATTATGTAAAATTGATAAATCTTTTGGACATTTATTTTTTTTTTACCAAAGTAATTTTTATTATGTTTTTGGATTATGATCATGTAATAAGTGATAATTTTCATTTTCATTAAATTAGTTTCTATTTTTTGAAAAATCAAATATGGTGACAACTTTGATATCATTATTAAACCAATTTATTAAATCAAAAAATCTAAAATTAAAAATATTTTATATATTAAATATATCGATTACATATTAAAATCCTACCAACCACCCATTACATTTAAATTAGTTTCTATTTTTTGAAAAGTCAAATATGGCGGCAACTTTGATATCATTATTAAACCAATTTATTAAATCAAAAAATCTAAAACTAAAAACATTTTATATATTAAATATATCGATTACATATTAAAATCCTACCAACCACCCATTACATGATTATTATCCATATACATTATAAAAATTAATTTAGTAAAATAAATAAATAAATAAATGTCTAAAAGATTTATCAATTTTACATAATTTTAACATAGCCAAGTAGAAATAATTTTTAAATTTTAAAAATATTTTTTTCATGTTTATTTTTGTCAAATTAGTTTATATTTTATCAAAATGACGATTTTGTCCTTGAAATTAAGCAATGATATCTTCAATTGTCCTTATTTGGAATAAGATTCAAAATTCATGATCAAATATGTCACAATTGAAAAGTCGGGATCAAAATGACACGAGTTCTAAACTTTAGGGACTATTAGTGTAATTCTTATTTTCAATTTTGGATGAAAATAAAATACAAAATATTAGTAATATTATTTAAATTTAAAAATAAATTTTTTATTAAACTTTCATTTATTGTTATTTAAGGATTAGGCCGGGCCTAATACTTGATAAATAATTTTCCAATCCAGTACTGGGTTATTAAAAAAAAAGAAAAAGAAAAAGGAACTTACCAATAAGTCTCATATACAAAGTTCAAGACTTATCTAATTCTCAAACAAAACACTTGCACCAATTAGTCCTACACATTTTTAATTGTTACTAAAAAAATCTTCTTTTTTTTTTTTTAATTTACAGACACTGTTATATCTTACTACCATCGGACTTCCATCAAACGGTCACCGGAGACTCGTCGGAATGTTCAACATTACTGGAAAGTCGCCGGAGTATCGCCGGAAGTTCACCGGAGTGTTAAGAACGTTAATGGAAGTCGCCGGAATGTTCAGAACGTTCACTGGACGTTAAGAACATCACTAGAGACTCACCGGAATGTCTAGAATATTGCCGAAAAAAAAAGAATAAATGGAGAAATTAGAGCAAAAAAAACATAGCAAAATTTTGACTTAAAAGTATAAATCTTTTTAAAATTAAAAAAAAAAAAAAAACGACAAAAAACAGTAACAGTGGGAAAAAAATATGCTCTCTTTCAATTTTTGTAACGTTTAAGCAAATAATCTCCAATATTGATCAAACTGAAAAGTAAGTTTTGAAACTTTAAAATGTTACAGTTTCAAAGCAAAAATCTATTAAGCATTTATCCTTTTTAATCAAACTGAAAAACATGTTATAAAACTGTAAAATTTTACAGTTCTAAAGAATGTTATGAAATTGTAAAATTTTACAGTTTTATATCATGATTCATTCCAGCACCAAAAAAATTTGAAAGTGTAAAATTTTGCAGTTTTAAACCATGATTCATTCCAGCATCCAAAAAAATTTGAAACTGTAAAATTTTACAGTTTTTACCGCCTGTAACTAAAACTCGAAAACTATTTATTTAGAATTTGAAAATTTTCTCCATTAGAACAGAAAAAGAGAAGTGTATAGCAGAGAAAATGTAAAAAAAATAAGAGATCGAAGGAGAAAGGCTGATATAGAGAG